AACGTTGTCGATCATCCAAACACCTCGGCGACCTCGAACTTCTTGCGCCTGGCCAAAAGAGTGTGAACAATCATTAGCATCTCCAACTGGGCAATCTTGTGGTCTCCGACCCAATAGCCATAGAGGTTCTCTGGTAGGCCTGCAACAAACGCTTCACGAGGTCTGCTAGCTGCTGGCTGCCAAAGGATCAGGAAACCCCCTGATCCTTGCCTTGGCGCCCCCCAAGGCCGCATCAGACGCTACAAAAGCACACGACCTACGGAGTGACGCCTGATCATAAAATGCCGACGAGGTCGCAACTGTAGCAAAGACTTCAAAGCACTTGGTCAGCCGATCTGATAGGACAGAACAGCTGCCGTAGTGATGATCTTTCAGCGGTTGAAGTCCGCCACAACCAACACGTCCGAAAACACATGACTGGAGGAAGTTGACAGTAATAACTGCGAAGCCTGGGAGGGCGTCAGAACACGTGTTGCGCGTGCTTCTTGCATCATAATTGAAACTTTGGTTTCGAGTCGCCCTCGAACCCAAAAGTGGATACGAGCATGAGTTCCAACCTCGGTGAAGTCATAGTCTAATCCCAAGGATCCGTTGTCACTCAAAGGTTGTTGTTTCTCCTCTGCCCAAAACAAAATCAATTGCCCGAAACACCATTGAGATGACTTGCCGTTGGACCCCACCCCAGATCCGTCAGATGCACATCATCATAGTACACCGGTAAGCAACGGAGAATCTACTACCCAGCGCTTCAGCAAACCGACTGTAACGGTTGAAACTAGTCACCGCCAAAGCCAAACCAAACAACAAACTGCTGTAGACCTGAAAAGCGGTTCTTGCCATTCATCATGCCAGAAGACCACGACACAAGCAAGCGCTTCGTCAAACCTAATCGGCGAATGGCGATATAGGCCTGAGTTAAGCCAATCTTCGCCTGCACCAAGCCACCGATCCGCATGACAACAGTGGTTCCACAGATCGTCGGGCATACCTGCCCCCACCGCTGCAATGTGCTGTGCTGGCCGCAGCGGCGTACACAACACCAGCTTATTCTGATCCGAGCAGAGTTCACTCTGCCCACCTCGGGCCGCATCATCAATGATGCGCTGTTTGCCATTGGCCTGCGTGATCACGCACCTGGGAATCAGACGGAACCTCCGCCCCTTCAGTGTTGAGAGCAGCTGAGTTTTACCCATGGGTTGTGAACAAAACCCTTGACTGAAATCTTTGCATGATTGCTCCAGCATGAAGGCATCATCTTTGCTTGGCTTCAAACGTCGCAAAATGTTAGCATTGTTGGACTCCCGCTCCCTCGAGCACTTCATCCAAGGACAAAAACGGGGCTACTTGGAACGGGAAGATTCCATCATTCGGTGCAAAACAATTGCAGGAAGGCCCTTGGTGAGACCACATGGGTACAAAAAATCATCCCAGAAAAGAAGCAGCATCAACAGGCCAGGCAAGCCAATCTCACGGTTGGCTGTGACTCTTCGAATTGCCGGTGTCTAGAACTTCCTCAAATGAGCCGACACTGAATGCCACCGATTGACCAACTCCTTGAAAGCGGCGATAGCACGCTTCCGGAATTCAGCCATCCGTACAGTAATGCAACACCATAGAAGCTGCGGCAAACTTGAGGTCATCATCCAACAGAGTTGCTGCTCCAAAGGGGTATATAGGTTGATGCAGTAGCCGTTGACATTCGGCAAAGTGCTCCTCCATCTCCAAACCAAAGGAGACCAGGGGTGGCAGGGCCGCTCTGTGGCTCAGAGCCCTCGCCTGTCTGCCACCCGCATGCCCCCGCACCAACCGACGGGACCAAAGGGCCATCCCAGGGAAGCCCTTCTCCGACCCGCCATTCCAGATAGCCCACAAAAGGTTCCTGGTTGACGATGTCTTCGACCATGGGGAACTGGAAACTACGAAACCAACGGGCACAACTTCTTGAAGGCCGCCACCACGCTCTCCTGTGCAAAGAAGCCCAACTTCTGCCCTCTCATGCAAAGATGCTGCAAGGTGATCCTTCAAATGCTCGACGTACTTCGGCGGCAGCCAGTCATCGAAGGCGCAGTCGTGCCCCGGCGAAACGGCGAATCCCATTTGGTGCGGCGCAAGCGATGGCGAAGCTCACCGTCCACGATCACATCATCCAGTTGCAGCCGCCGTGGCACACGCCCTGCCTCTACAGGGTCTGGCGGAACCAAACCTAACGCAATCCCCATTGGAGCCATCATGGCCCATTCCCTCATAGCTTGCAACCAGTGCTCACACCGACCATTGGTCTCAACTGAGGGCATCTTGGGTATAGCCATCATACCAAAACCTATCCTGACTGCCCATAATGACACAAACGCTATAGGCATGCGGTGTACTCCGCCTCTTCTTTGCTTGGGTAGTACCTCGACCCATCCACCAGCATCGGATCCCATTCCGCTGATCATGTACATGTGATGGCATTCCATGCACTACTGGCCATTGCGACACCTCGGGGATGTTGTGGCGGAGCCGCTGCCGCTTGCACCGTGCTCCAATAAAGTTGCACTCGCACCCAGCATACAAAGAATCCAGCCAAAGACCTGGGGCAAGCATCTGGTGCTCCTGCTCCAGCTCCCAGTGAAGACTGCGTGCAGGATTCTCACGAAGCGCTCCTCGACCGCTCTCAGACACTTTCTGCAACTGAGCACCTAGTCTGTCTCCACTCTCTCCCGATCTTTACCGGTCAACTCCGGCAACCCTTCGGGATACTTCTCACTCGCCAATGGCCCTGGTGCTCTCCGCCCATCTTCGAAGACCCTCGGGATCTCTCTAGCTTAATTGGCTCTTCGTCGAACAGTTCAAAGCTGCCGCCACAAAAGCTGCCTCCTGGACCTGCTCGGCAAAACTCCCTTGCCTCCTCGGATCATCGGCTAAGTCATGCGACGGGTCAATCAACCAATCGACCGCGACGGTTCGTCATCCACAAAAAAGGAACGCCTTAGTCAAAGTGGCAGACCAGCCATGAAGTCAATGATTAATGGGCTCTGGGAGCTGGGAGCGGGGAAAACGGTGAAAATGAGGGAAGGCTCCCTTCCTCCCTGGTCCCCGACACCGCACCATGCGATGCCGCCCCACAAATCCTCTGACCCGGGTGACCACTTGCACTCCCTTCGCACATGAGCCCTTGGCTTTGCACTCGCCCTTCTGCCATGCTTGGCGACAGGCTTGTCCCATCCCGCATCACACGGGCCACTTCTTTGTTACCATAGGGCCTAGCTGGAACTTGGAGGGTTGGCCTGCCTGGCTCAGCCTTCGGGATACCAGCTGCCACCGCGGCTGCTGGGGGCCGCGTTTCCATGCTGACTGGACATACCCATGTGGGTATCACGGGCCTCATAGATCTCCTTCATAATCTGGCCCAACGAGTTGACTCTCGGTAGCCTCGCCCACTCTGCTCTCTCCTCATCTCCTCCTGGTCGTGCGCCTGCAACCACGCCAGCTTCTTGTGCCCTGGCAATGTGGACACCACCCTCTTGGAGCGTGGTAACAGAACATGTTTGCCCAGGACATCACCTGACCGGGGGGGAAAGGCAGAGTACGGTGACTACCAGAACTCTGGCGCATGGCACTCTTCTAACTGTCAACCAACACGACCCGACACAAGCCTAAAACCGTCCTTTCACCACACACAAATTCGATCCATCATTGGGCTCGTCGTGACCTAGGTCAAAAACCAAGCCCGCTTCTTTGCAGCGCTCTTATCCTAAATTCGGCTGAAATAGTCACAGCAAAAAGCCCGCTGGTGCCCTATCAGCACATTCGCGGCAAAACGGCTTGCACCAAGCCTCTGCCTCACGAGGGTCACTCGTAGTCAGCGGATTCTGCAATCGAGCCACCGTGCAAATCCAGCTCATTGATTAATTCACCTCGAGCTCCGGAGTTTGGCAGAAATCGCAAGCGGTCTCTCCGCCGCGACATGCCTAGCAACACTCGACTTCGCAAGTGTCACAGGTATCCCGGGTCGGCACCCCACAGTGCCTGCACATTGGTTTGCGCCGACCTCCACTGCACCAAGCAACAATCTCCAGGAGCGACCTGCTCGTCACCCAATGTTGTTGCCCCTGTGAATGGCATCCGTCGAAAACACCCAGACCCCAGACCGTCCTTGCCAATCCTGCCAGAGCTCGAAAACTCCACCACGGAGGCCATCGCGCCTCAAGCACAATCTCGCCAGCAGCCGCCACACATGAAGCGGCAGGAGATCCTCCCCGCAACTGAAGAGACTATGGCGCCCGCGACAGAACATCGAAGCGGGCAATTATCCCGGAAGCCACCTCTCAGGCAGTGCATCGACTGCCGCAGCTTGGACCAAGACGGCCCGACATGGGACTGAATGCAAATCCGGTAACTCAGGGACACTCCACAGAGCAACGTCTCGACAACAAGTCCCCACACCGCCCGCGCCTCCCCAAGTCTCTCTAGGGTGAGGAGATCCGCAAGGTGGAGTACCTCTACGGGAGTAGCATAGCACCCCACCAGAAAGGCCATATGCGTGGTCCCTCCACGCCCAAGGAAGCAAGAAAAATCTTGCCATTTTGGATCAAGGCACTTGAGCCAAAACATCAAGAGGGTGAGAACTTGATAAAGGATTTGTGAAAACCCAAGCCTTCCAAACCTGATTCACATATAGATTACCATGAACCTGCGAGGAGCCAAGCCCAAAATTCGAGGATTTACAGGAGGAGAATGTTCGGATACTCTTTTTCCCTGCGCTTTTCTGCACAGAAAGTGGCCTCTGCGCTTCCAGTGCGTATTTCTCCTTCAGCACCCTGGAATCGTTACCTCGGTGAAAACCAAGGTTGAGGTGCTGCCTGAAGGGTGGCCAAAGGTGGAAGGGCACAGTTGGCATCAGACTAATGATGATTTGTCTAAACTAAGGGCCTCTAGTATTCTTATGTGTCTGTCTTCCAAACGCTTCAGATTCAACTGCGGAGAGCTTGCGATATGGCAGTACTAAGCTGCATCCAGTCTCTAGTCAACTACCGCACGTACTATCAGACTACTATTTAAAAAATTGGTGCCAAAACCTAAAATGGGGCCAACAGGGCACCAACAGGGCCATAACAAGCCCTGCAGCGCATCATCCCAGATGCGCGACTTGTCCAGGGAGACCATGTATCTCATCAACCGTTCCTTGGTGTCCTGTTCCAGAAATCCGGCCGCCTCCAATAGGTTGCCTGCGACAAATTAGCTTGAGAAAGTGCGAGACACAGTGAGAATGCTCTTTGCACAATGGTGGCGATTGTTTTGCACATTTCTCTACCCATCATCCTGGCTCCGCGGCTTGTCTCGAATTGGGAACCCCAAATTCCATTAACTAGCTCAACCCAACAGCAGGTTCCAGTGTTGCCAGGGTTCGGTTCCGGTTTTCGGGCGCCAAAAACCAGTCCACCACTCCCAGACCCATTGAATTCCAACAGTCACTGCTGTTGTGAATTGTCCCCCGTATGTTTGACCCACATACCACGTCGCTGGTTCTGTGCCATGCCATACCCCAGAAAACTCACCATTTACAGTTGGACATATACATTCCCATGTTTCTCATTCAACCGTCTTTGTGGACAAACCTGTCCACTAACATGTATGTATTATATATGTATGTGTGTGCGTGTGTGTGTGTGGAATATATCTATAACATAGACCCGGGCAAGCCGGCGGCGGAAGTTTCCCAAACATAAATGACCTATAGTTCAAAGACAACCTGTCCCGACCGTGTCCTTCCCTCGACACTCCACACCTCACACTGCACACTGCTCTCTTCGCACTCCAAACTTCAAACTTCACACTCCACACTTCACACTCCACACTTCTCACTTCTCACTGCTTCCTTCACACTCCAAGCCTCACACTTCACACTTCACACTTCACACTGCGCTCTTCGCACTCCAAACTTAAACTTCACACTCCACACTGCACACTTCACACTCCACACTTCACACTTCTCACTGCTTCCTTCACACTTCACACTTCACACTGCACTCTTTACGCCCCACACTTCACACTGCTCTAAACCTACGTGGAACAAAAAAACACTAATGCGACAAAATGGAGAAAATCTGCTGACAAATCACTGTGGCAGCCTTCATGCAGCCACTCCAATACGATTTACGAAGTCCAGCTGCAAAAGACAATAGTATTACAAATGCAGCCACAGCACGAAGCAACCTTGACGCAGCCATTACATGCGATCTGCAGAGACTGAGTTGCAAAACACAATAGAACTACGCGCAACGGCGTCGGAAATTGTAGCTCCAAAACCGGATCTCGACGCCAGAGCGAAAAAAAGACGATTTTGAAGCACTTTTTAAAGGATTTTTAGAAGGAAAATCACTAGCGCCAAAATGGAGAAAATCTGCTGACAAATCACTGTGGCAGCCTTCATGCAGCCACTCCAATACGATTTACGAAGTCCAGCTGCAAAAGACAATAGTATTACGAATGCAGCCACAGCACGAAGCAACCTTGACGCAGCCATTACAATGCGATCTGCAGAGACTGAGCTGCAAAACACAATAGAACTACACGCAACGGCGTCGGAAATTGTAGCTCCAAAACCGGATCTCGACGCCAGAGTGAAAAAAAGACGATTTTGAAGCACTTTTTAAAAGGATTTTTAGAAGGAAAATTACTAGCGCCAAAATGGAGAAAATCTGCTGACAAATCACTGTCGCAGCCTTCATGCAGACACTCCAATACGATTTACGAAGTCCAGCTCCAAAAGACAAAAGTATTACCAATGCAGCCACAGCACGAAGCAACCTTGACGCAACCATTTACACTGCGGGAACGATCCTACAGTTGCAAAGCACAATGGAATTCCATCGGCAACTCATCCACCAGCAACACTTGCAATCCCATTTACATTGCGGGAACGATCCTAGAGTTGCAAATCACAATGGAATTCCATCGGCAACTCATCCACCAGCACCACTTGCAATCCCATTTACATTGCGGGAACGATCCTACATTTGCAAATCACAATGGAATTCTGTCGACCGCACATGCACGAAAAACACTTGAAACCCCATTTACAATGCGGAACCGATCCGACCATGATCCGAGAATGATCCGAGCATGATCCGACCACACACGAGACCGTCTCGCAACCGCCGCACCGCAGAGGTAGATCATCGAGGTTCGGGGACGGACTTTGTATGGAAAAACATAGGGTTTCGTGCATCTGCTATCTCTCAAAAACGCATTTCGTGCGAGACTTCCTCCAAAACTCCGTCGGCAACTCCTCCACCAGCACCACTTGCAATCCCATTTACAGTGAGGGAACGATCCTAGAGTTGCAAATCACAATGGAATTCCATCGGCAACTCATCCACCAGCACCACTTGCAACCCCATTTACATTGCGGGAACGATCCTACCGTTGCAAATCACAATGGAATTCTGTCGACCACACATGCACGAAAAACAGTTGACACCCCATTTACAATGCGGAACCGATCCGAGAATGATCCGAACATGATCCGAGCATGATCCGACCACACACGAGACCGTCTCGCAACCGTCGCACCGCAAAGGTAGATCATCGAGGTTCGGGGACGGACTTTGTATGGAAAAACATAGGCTTTCGTGCATCTGCTATCTCTCAAAAACGCATTTCGTGCGAGACTTCCTTCAAAAATCCAACTTGAAGATGTCATTTACAATTAACTCTGTCCCTCACTCACTCTTTCCCTAACTAACTCTTTCCCTCACTAACTCTTTCTTTGACTAACTCTTTCCCTGACAGTCTAAAAGTTACAATTAACTCTTTCCCTAACTAACTCTTTCCCTCACGAACTCTTCCTTTGACTAACTCTTTCCCTGACAGTCTAAAAGTTACAATTAACTCTTTCCCTAACTAACTCTTTCCCTCACGAGCTCTTTCTTTGACTAACTCTTTCCCTGACATTCTAAAAGTTACAATGAACTCTGTCCCTAACTAACTCTTCCTTTGACTAACTCTTTCCCTGACAGTCTAAAAGTTACAATTAACTCTTTCCCTAACTAACCCTTTCCCTCACTAACTCTTTCTTTGACTAACTCTTTCCCTGACATTCTAAAAAGTCCGCAACACGGAAGTTTCTCCCCCTAAACTTCCTTTGATAATATATATATATGTATGTATATATATATATATATGTGTGTGTGTGTATATCTATATATATATATATATGTATATGTATATGGTCAGACCATATCCCCTTGATATACCAACTATCACATCTTCATTAGCTGCCCATTTTACCACCACTACATACTCATTCATGGTTCATCGTTCCAAGGATTTCCAAGGACAAACCCAAGTCGGATTCTAGTTGGCTATGTGTATATATATATGTGTGTATATATATATATATATGTACATATGTCTGCATGTGTGTGTGCGTATTGATTTATACATATATATATATATGATTATATCTCAATCACACCCCCTAGGTTGGTTTTATCCCAATATCTCCATTTATATCCCATTATATCCAATATTGGCTATATAAGTTATATAGCCTGTTTGTTCCATCGTCTCACCCTGCCACCATCTTAACCTGGGTTTGTTGGTTATAACATAGCCCCAGTTGCTGCTTAAATCACCCCATTTCAAAACGCTCCAAGCTTCGAAGCTCACTGCTCTGCTCCATGCAGCTTTGCATCAAGCCCATGAGCCGCCAGAGATCCCAATCCGAGAGCTCGCCTCAGCCGGTAGCTGCAAGAAAAAAATCAAATAGGTTGGTTAACTGGGATCGCCCGAAGCAGCGCCAAACAGAATGGAAGATATGACCTATTATTGATCTATAACTGATCTATATACAAATGATCTATAATTTATCTATAGTCTATATATATATAGTAAATCAGTCGTCATCCATCAGTCCATGAATCCGCTGGGAAAAAAATAACTGGGAAACACGATTCCCATCAGATATGGGGTTCCAGTTCCTGTACATGTTCACTTCAGCCAACTATGGGAACCATCATCCATGCGTCTTCTTGGAAAACGGGCACCTCATCTGCATCCATCCATTCCATCATCAGATAAATCAGGGCTACAAATCTACCACTGGTTGGCGGCTTCAACCCATCGGAAAAATATTGCAAATTGCAGACCTCAATCCGGATCATCATCCGATTGCTAGGCCTTGAAGGAAAAACGTTGAAACCACCAAGCAAATAAGCATTGGTTATGGTATACTGTATGTGTATGTGTATGTGTATGTATGCATGCATGTATATATATATATACACATTAAAATGCATATATATATATATATAAATATATATATATAAAAATATATATATAACACAATCTTATATATATATATGCACAGCCCCTACCACGACCCCCCGTGCCCAAAGAGACTGTCTCTCCCACACCTGTCACTAGCAACCAGCTCATAATTTACTCCGACTGACAAGTTTCCACAGTTTCCACTAAGTGTCTTAGAAAACACATGGGTTCAGCTTGGCACATAGTAACTTTGAAGATCTTTTTGGTGAGGGACATCGAATGTCGAGAAGGTCATGGAAACTTGGCGGAGGTTAAAGTGTGTGTGTGTGTGTGTGAGCTCATGCTCATAATTTACTCCGACTGACATGTTTCCACGAAGGTGTCTTAGAAAACACATAGGTTCAGCTTGCCACATAGACAGTAACTTTGAAGAACTTTTTGGTGAGGGACGTCGAATGTCGAGAAGGTCATGGAAATTTGGCGGAGGTTAAAGTGTATGAGCTCATTGGCTTTCTGGGGTGCGAGGTGGAGACCCTAGCAACTCACTCGGAGTTCAAGTGGAAAACAATGGTGCGAGGTGGAGGCCCAGGAGGGGTCCGCAGCACAAATCGAGGGGGTGTTCGGCTCCGCTGCCGGAAAGGAGACGGCAGCGCAATCTTTAGTTTTGAAGTGAGAAGGTGAAGAAATAAAGAACAAAGGATAAGACCAACACAACAAAACTGCGAAGACAAAAGCTCATTCCAGGCACTCTTCGTTCAGCTCCCTGGGCGCTACGCTTTCGAAATCAAAGTCAAAAGACTCTGACAAGGAACCCGTCTCTGCATCGTTGAGGTCTTTCCTTGGAGGTTTGACCTTTGCAAGTGGCTCTGGCCGAAATGCCGTTGTGAAGACAAAGGTTCTGACAGTCTGACAGGAACCTTGATCCACGGGGCTACACGACTAAGGCCTATCGCATCTATTTCGACAACATGCTTTTCATGTTAAAGTTCGCCTTTTTCTTTAATTTTTTTCGCGCTTCTTGAGGAAGATGCAGAAGGTAAAGCTGAGTGGAAAGGAAGGCTTTGTAGGATCAGGGGCAGCAGACACAGACAGCAGACATGCGAGACATCATGTGATGGTGCAATGTTTTTGAAGGTTCAGTTTTCATGCCATGATTTGGTTTGTGGAAACTCGCAGTCGAACACCAGAAAAATTGAGAACACAAGCTTTGGATGTAACGAACACGGTGGACAAGTCTAGGCAGTCGGAACGCACAACGAGCACACTTTTTTTGCAACAGCATGTAGGTCAGGTATAAGCAGCAATCTAGCCACGAAGCTCCTAGAGCCTTTGGCCTGTGGCTGACCAGAGGTTCTGTGCGCGGTACGTCCACTGTGCAGCGCGAACCTTGCGAGCTAGAATAGCAGAGCCAATCTAGCTGCGAATCTTAAATATGACCGCAAATGTCCCCAAAACCGGTCAATGATCTGAGTGCCAGCTTTCACTGTCACTTACTCCCCGCTGGGCGGCTTGTGTGTCCGGGTTCTGGTCAAATGGGGTTTTACCCAAACTGCTCTGCCTCTCACCACGATCTTCTTCTTCTTGTGCACCACACTGTCTCGCAGCACACCTGTGATCTTCATCTTGTACGCCTTTGCGCCATCGGTTTGCAAGATGACGTCGCGGCCCTCCAGGAACTTCTTGGCAACAGGCTTCCAGTCCCTTTTGGCGATAGGACCTGGGCCAGGGGATCTTACAGCAGTGGCTCTCGAAGGAAGCCAGAAGAGCACTAATGTCTTGGGATGCCCAGGTTCCACTAGGCCACCCCATTGCTCCCACCGCGCTGTTTTCTTCTTCATATCAACTTCTTTGCCCACATCAACTTCATCTGCCTCGACATCACACCAGTTGTGCTTAGCTCTAAGCTTGATGTGCTTTTGCTTTTTGAAGACATGCTGGCTGCGAGCAATCTCCAGGTTTGTGTAGGTTCGTGACATTGGCTTGTGGTTCATATCGAGGATGAAGTGACTGGCACACCTACAAGGGCGTTACATAGAACAGCTGCTTGCTGGCCCAGTAGCGTGATATGGCGTGTACCCAGCTCCATGCCCATTCAAGAAGATAGGATGGAAGTCATGAGGCTGAATGAACTTCCTGCACCGCTTGGCTCCGCACTTGTGCGTCCAGACTTCTCTCTCGTGGGAGAAACGCAAGGCCCAAGCTTGCCAACACCACAATGGGGACAAGTCTTTCCTGCCCACTTCGGAAGCACCTTGTCTTTTTGCAGCTGCCGAAGCAAAGCCTGTGGATGCATGGGGATGAGGCCTTGAACCCACACACCGAAACGTATTCTTTCCTTACGAAACTTCTTCTGCACACCTTGGTGTCGCACTGGGCTCGACTTTTGCAGCGCTTCGGGACTGGCCAGGTGCTACCACCGCGATACTTCATGGTGAATTTCGGTGTGAAAGGCAAAGCACACCTGCAATTACAAAGCACTAGGCTAGATGAGTACCGAGCTCAAGCCAAAAGCTGTCAAATCGCACGGTGGCCATTGCAAGAGACAGGCAGGAATTAAAAAGACATGTTCTGAACATGAACGTCCAACAGAGAGTTTGAAGCGCTAGAAATCTGCATCCTTAGACAACACCGCGCAGATTAGCTAAACGAAGTGGTGCAGCTGCAACAACATAATGGACGCAAGCGAAACATGCCAATCTGGTAAAACTGCTTGAATGAGCGAGAGTTGACAGCAACGCAGCGCGACTTGAAGACAATCTTTTTCCCGGCTCACCGACATCAAAAGCTGCAATCTCTTCGTGTCAAAATCTGCAGGGCAGCACAACAAGCTCTAAGTATCTAGATGTTTCGAATCGACAGACCCATCTACGGTGCGCGCACTCACATCTCGTTGTTCACCTCCTCATCCATCATACTTTCGACAGCCATCTCCAGGTCATCTCCTTCGCCCGGTGCCGGAGAGCCATCATCCATGTCCACGTCCACTTCCATGCCTGGCAATGAATCAGCGATTGGCTCTGTTGCAAAGACTGCTGAACGAGGCCTTTTCAGTGGAGAAGGCCGCTTCAAGTTGCGGAACACTTGAGTCACCTGTTCCTGTTTCACTCTGCTGCGCATTTCAGCCTGTGGCAATAAATGTGGCACTTCTTGCCTTTCAACAGGGCCAGCACCAAACAAAGAACCCCCGCGGATGGTGATGGTGCGAGGAATCTCCTCACCTGATAGCAAATTGCGAAGCAATTCGTGAGACCAGACAAAATTTTCATGGAAATTGGACGGCAGACGGTGGGCATCCGGATCCTTCTTGTAGGCTTTGACGATAGGTTTCTGTGCATCGACCAAGAGATCTTTGGATTGATTCACACACGAATTGAAAGGTACATCATCTGTAGCTGTGCCGGCCAGGCGCCAATACACGCCTTTGCCGGTCAACACGATCAAATGTGTTCGAGCAAGAATCGCAGCTATATCCTCGGCATCTTCCACACCACCAAATGAGGTCCAAAAAGTCCTTGTAGAAGATGCAGTTCATCTTGGCGGCTTGGATGCATTCTCCAAGATTTCGGTTTCCGACTTGGCACTGTATGGATTGTTGCAGGCGTGCCTTCCAGCACCCTGATCGAACTGTAGCGCGCCCAGACGGTAGCGTCTTCTTCCTGCAAAGCGAAGCAAAGTGGTAGACATAGAATGTGAATGCAACAGTGTGGCAAGCAAAGAAAGTGATAGCCCAGCAAAGAGCGAGATTTACAAATAGACAAGAAGCTTGCTGACCATGACATTAGTGCAGACAAGGGGCCCTGGGGTTCAGGAACGCTTTCAGGAAGGAGAAGGCCATCATCGAAGACACCGGGCTGAAACTTACTGATCGGCTCCGCTTTGAAAAAATCCAAGTGCTTCGCCGTCACGATGCTGGGAACAAGATCTGAGCGCGCAGCCGCCTCAATCTCAAAGCGAGACTGCGCAAAGAGCACCGTCTTGGAACCTAAAGACTTGCCTGCCCGTGTCTTCCTGATCCAAGTGATGCCATGTTGACGCATTGTAGGCAACATTTTGACCAAGATATCATGACGGAACCACGGCACGAAGGACTTCAGAGTGAACGGCCAATACTCCAATGTCTTGGCCTTCTGTCTGCCTCTGTAGCAGTTATTGAGGGCTTTCTGTGCTTTTCCTTCGTTCCAACCTCCAGGCTTGCTCATCTGCCCACTCCATAAACTGGTTACGATTGTTGGGGCGGGGCCCAATGTCACGGATGAACTTGTAGCCCGCTTCCCGTGCACACTGATCCAGGCTGAGCTTCTTCCCAATCTTCACAGAGATGGACCTGCATGCCACCCATCCTGTCCAACATGTGGTTGAGTGCCATCAAGCCATTCCCTGGCTGGTACCCCCCCAATAAAACTTCAAAGGGGGACCTTGGCAGAGAGACATGCAATCCTTAGACCACAATTTGTTTTTGCGCAGGTAGACATGCTTCACGATGTTGAATGGTGGATGGGATGATGACAATGATCTGCATGCATGCTGTAAGGGACATTTGGCCCGGACTTCAGGCAGAATGGTGGTGGCAATTCTAAAAACTTGGCCTGCGCACACAGACAGTAGATGGTGTTGTCCCAAAATGTTTGTGTGGGGTCCAAGGAGACGTTGAGGTTCACATCTGCGAATTGTTCCACCTTGCCACCTGTGCCGACCATGTCCCTCAGAGGCAAGTCGCCCACAGTCACATCACCTACTTCACGGTCCGACTTGGCTTGGTCAAAGGTCCATTGAGTTTGAGACCGTTCACATGCAGACATCCAAGGAACAAGGCCACGCAGAACAAATTGTGACATGAATGTATGTTCAATGGTTTGACATTGTAAGGAAGTTGGTCTTGGAAGAGGCTCTTTCTGAAATGTCCATGTTGGCTGTGTCCTGCCGAGAAGATCACTGTGAGTGTGAACTTAAAGTTAGATCAGAGGACAATTTCCAGATGTTCCGTGGATGGGAAAGGATCCAGACAGTAAAAGAGAAAAACTTTGGAGAAAATAAAAAACAAAGGTCTTGGGGATAGTAAACAGAAAAAAAAAAAAAACATAAATAAGCTTCGGTGGTATCCCCAACTGCCGCAACGTTTTATTTTTACATTTTTTTCTGAAACGTGCTGCGGAGCCAAGCGCTGGAAACACCTCAGCTGGGTTTCCGTTAGTTAAATGGCCGCAAATCCTGTTGAACCTGACCTGGCTCTGCACCAAAGTTTTCCGGGAACCTTCTCCGGAACCTGACCTGCCTTCTTCGGAGCCCTGTTGAACCTGACCTGGCTCTGCACCAAAGCCTCCCCGACCTTCTCCAGAACCTTCTCCAGAACCTTCTCTGGAACCTTCTCCGGAACCCTGTTGAACCTGACTTGGCTTTGCACCAAAGCCTCCCACACCTTCTCCGGAACCTTCTCCGGAACCCTGTTGAACTTGACCTGGCTCTGCACCAAAGCCTTCTCCGGAACCCTGTTGAACGTGACCTGGCTCTGCACTGCAATGAAAGAAGAAAGCTGTGAGGATGGACAAGTGTTGGGAAAAAGACTGAAGCCATTAAGCTTAAAAAATCAAACGAAAAGTTGATCAAAAATGCAACCTGAATGTTTAAAGGTTGATTTGTAACATATCTTGACACTAACAAAAACACTGTAAATTACAGTATTTTAGCTGTATTGGATACATGCAGTAACATGTTATATATAGATGAAGGGAGTCGACGTGGGTGACCATATATATATATATATAAATACCGCCGTATATAAACCCATAAACCTAATACACCCCCGATGATACTGTGGATGGAAGAACTCCTGCACCAGCTTGGATGCTAAAACACCTATCAGATCTATCAACTGCAGGATTTCTATCAATTTCTTCAGTATCTCAAGCCCAAGGAACTTCTCTTTGTAAAATGTGAATCGGCTTTCTCCTGGCCATAGAGCATGTCCTTCGAGGCCGCCGCACGGAGAGTCTCCATCTTGACGGCCGCCTGCACCATCCTGCATGCCGAAGGCCATTGATTCATCGTTGTCCCCGTTAAGATTACCGTTTGGAGGAAGGAGAGAGGGAGAGAGAGAGAGAGAGAGATTTATTTTCACAAATATATATATATATACTCATTTGCTGCATTTTGTAGCTAAAATCTCTCATTCGTACTGTTCATTCATGTTTCCACTGGTTTCAGGATTTTGTTCAATGGTTTTTATCGAGTTTTCCATCGTTTTCATTGGTTTGTCCATGAGTTTCTTCAATTTTTCCATGGCTTTCTTTAATTTTCCCATGGTTTTCTTCACTTGTTCTATGGTTTTTCTTCGATTGTTCCATGGTTTTCTTCCATTGTTCAATGGTTTTCTTCATTTGTTCTATGTATTTTTTCAATTTGTGCATGGGTTTCATTCAGTGTTCACTTGTTTTCATTGATTGTTCCAGAGTTTTCATTGATTGTTCCAGGGCTTTCATTGGTTTTTACATTGTTTTCATCGCTTTTTCCAAAGTTTTCATTTTTTCGGAAATACACGATGTGCAAACTATAAATTGTAGATGTAGAGAGGTGTATATGCATCACCAATCATGACATTATGTATATGTATATCAGTGTATTTACACGTGTATTTAATATATATATATATATGTATATTTATTTATTTATTTATTTAAATGCAGGGCTTGGTTTAAAGTTTATTTAGGGTTGGTTTATGGTTTCTTCTAGGTTTGTTTAGGGTCTATTTAGGGTTGGTTTAAGGTTTCTTTAGGGCTGGTTTAGGGTCTGATCAGGGTTTGTTTAGGGCTGGATTAGGGGTTATTTAGGGATACAAAATGTACATACAAATAACTATAATTATGTGGGTGCATATCCATGCGCATGATTATTTATAGTTTATTTTGGGATGAAAGCTGTGTATATAAACAACTATGAATATGTCATATACATATATATATATATATAGATATGTGCGTATACATCTACAAGTATACATATACATATATTTACATATAGATATATATGTATTTACCTATATATATATATCAAATGTAAATAAGTATATATATATAAGTATATATATATAAGTATATATATATGTGTGTGTGTATGCATGTCTGAATGTATGCATGTATGCATGTATGCATGTTTTTATAGGCTCGTCCAGGCTTCTGGAACTACCTAAACCTTGGGGTAAAGGGGTGGGGTGGGATGTTAACGTTCATGTGAACTTGCGGCAGCAGTTGATGCTACGCACACGCGGGGTGGGGGGGGGTGGGGTGGGATGTTAACGTTCATGTGAACTTGCGGCAGGATGTTAACGTTCATGTGAACTTGCGGCAGCAGTTGATGCTACGCACACGCGGGGGGGGGGGGGGGGGGTGGGATGTTAACGTTCATGTGAACTTGCGGCTCGATGTTAACATTCATGTGAACTTGCGGCAGCAGTTGATGATGATGTGATGATGATGATGATGATGATGATGATGATAATGACCCTAATGAAACTTGTTAATTCCGCGACGAAATTTCGTCACGGAATGGACAAGTTTTACCAACCTAATTCAGGTTTAGGTAGTTCCAGAAGCCTGCACGAGGCTATATATACATATGTATATGTATGTATGTATGCCATGCAGGCAGGCATGCAGAATGACTTGGATGTATGGATGTATATATATGTATATATATATACGTATATGATATGTATGTATGTATGATATGTATGTATGTATGTATGTATGATGTATGCATGTATGTATGGATGCATGCATGCATGCATGCATATGCATGTGTGCATGTATGCATGTATGCATGTATGCATGTATGTATGGATGGATGTATGCATGCATGCATGGATATATGGATGTATGGATGTATGGATGTATGGATGTATGGATGTATGGATGTATGTATGTATGTATGTATGTATGTATGTATGTATGTATGTATGTGTATGTATATGTATGTATGTGTATATATATATATATGTATATGTGTATGTGTATGTGTGTGTATGTGTATGTGTGTATGTGTGTGTGTATGTCCGTGTGTGTCTGTGTGTGTCTGTGTGTCTGTGTGTCTGTGTGTCTGTGTGCCTGTGCCTGTGTGGATATATCATCATTATACCATGATATATCACGTTTTCGGACCAATCCACAATTTTCAGCGTTTTCTCTGAACAAGCTTAGGATGGGATGTGAGGGGTGTAGCTATTTTGAAGAAATGCCAAATCCAAATCCCTGTCGCCGACTTTTCCAAGGCACTTGGCGGCATTGCTGGAGCTGACCACTGGATGCGCCTTGCAGCAAGAGCTACGGAGTTGCTGCATCTCAAGAGTTAAGGCAGTTGAGGATACTGCAGCCAGAATGGTACCCAAAACCTGCATCAAGGAGTGGCTTGAGTGGATTTCCCAAGGATTTTGTCTTGGTGCATCTCATCTGGGTCAAGCTCCCCATTTTCATGACCCGCCTTCAACTGGAGCCGTCGGTAGGAGATGGCCAGCACCAGGGACTGGTGACTCTGCACCAGCAACGCAGATTGCTCCTGGCCGTAAAGTGCCCCGAGTGTTTTGTAACTTCGTAATCCATGGAATATCCATGGCTATCTCCACGTATTATTCTTGTGGGTAAGTCATCATCCAAATACCCGGGATGCAAGCCCAAGGGCCACCAACTACTGGACAATAGGTGCGGGTTCGCCTCAGAGCGGCAAAATCCCACCCCAACATATCCCAACTATCCAATTCCAACAACCTTTATATTCATGGCCGTTCGGCTGTTCATAAGGGGCCTCGTTTTGAAAAACAGCTGCAAGCCTCGAAAAAGCCTCCCCCTCACACTCCCTTCCCTCCTGATCTGGGAATCCTTGGCATGTGAATGAGGCGTTGCGAAGGCAAAGAACCAACCCCAACACCGAAAGGCGTAGGTTCCGGGGCATCAACTGTCCCACGTGTTCCCAAGTGCAAAAAAAAAAACAAAGGGTCTCTGGCTTCGAGTTCTGCTCCCCTTCAGGATACTCAAGAAACCAAGATTCCTTGGCAGAACCAGTGGAAAGCATCCTCCACTGCCTGCCAACCAAGCCAACCAAGCACAGCCCAGGCCCTGTGACACATGGCACATCAAACCGGAACAGTTCTATGGATTCCCTCATCCAAAAAAAAAAAGAGAGCAGGGGAAAACGTCGCGTCCCCCCCACCTGCTCGGGAGACACTTTGGGTGCCGGAAGGAACTCCGCCAATTCCCTCTTCTCAAAGCCCTGCAGGAATGTCGAAAATTGCTCCAAGTTATTACCCTGTAAACCAGCGAATGGCCCCCTGATAGCCCATTAACATCCCATGAATAGCCCATTTATGGACAGGGTGTAGCCCGAAAATTCCCGTTTGATTGAGATATGATGTCATCTACCGCAAGTTTTGCACAAACCCACATGGTTGAACCAGCAACAACGTGGATTTGACCAACTACCATCCAGTCACACTGCGAAATGAGAACCACGAAATCAGGTGGTCCTCTGCCGACTGAACCAAGTGTTTGACTTGTTAGCTGATTGTGTGATTGCTGTCTGGGCCTCTCGCTGATTGCTAGTGATTGGCTAAGAGATGGTCTGGTGAAATTGAATTTTAAGACATCACTGATTGCTGGAACAATTGCTCGCTGATTGTCTGATCAAACCGTTGATAGCTTCACTGGTTGGCTTTAGTCGGCCAAGAGGAAGATTCAAGGCTTCGTCGGAGCACCTGCCACCTCCAAACCAAATACTGCCAGTCAGCATCTGGTGCTGGAATGGAACTCTGGGTAGGCTTGTATTTGTTTTGTTTCTTTTTATTTTTTGATGGGCTGCTTCTTTGGCTGCTCTCGGTTGGAGAGGGGGTTACCAGACTGATTTGTTGCTTCTTTGAAATGTTTGCTTCAATTTTTGAGCAATGCTCCGCACTACACCATGCCAGCCTTCCGCAGTACATAGCCCAGTGCTCTGTATCTCATGGCCTTTTTTTAACTGCTTTTCCGGTAGAATTGCCAAACAGTTTTTTGTCTTTGGTGCTCGCGTGTGCATTCCAAACCACCCCAAGACCCTTTTCCACAGTCAAGTTGCTGGCAAGTTCACGAGGCCACCTGCCAGCGTTCCCAGCAACCACGGCTTGGCGTTGAGCATCAAATGATCCACCAAAGCTTGACGCCCCTGGACCGGTGGAACCCTGGAACCCCTTAGCAACTGATGTGCCAAACCGAACAAGAACCATTCCCGAGTTCACAATTTGACCGGAAATGGTGCGAGTATTATGTGGTGCGAAACCATTCCCAGTTTTTACATGCTGAAAGACCCTATGATTTTTCAACCATTACTACAATTCCAAACACTTCCGTCCTGGCTATTGAGCTGCTCAACTGTGACTTCGGGCATGTTTCGCGAGTCGTTGGCCACATCAGTGGTCTTCCTCGGTTTCTCAGCAAAAACAAAAAAACTGGGTGCAGGCCTTGAACTTGAAACTGCGCAATGGCAATGCTGCAATATGTATGTGTTTGTTTGTATCTATATTCATGCATTCATGGATTCGTTCGTTCGTTCGTTCGTTCGTGCATGCATGCATTCACTCATTTACTCATTCATTTCATTTCATTTTGTTTCGTGTCGCTTTATTTTTTTGTTTTTCATTCTTTGATTCATGTATTTACTTATTTATGCATTTATCTAATTTATCTATGTATTCATTTTTTGATGTATGTACAGTACTCGTTTATTTTTTGTTTGTTTATTTCCACATGTAGGTATCTACTTAGTTATTTACATACTGACCAAGATGCCATGCATAATGGGCCAGCTGGTGACTGCCAAGAAGGATCATTTTCCATCTCAGTTTTCCATAACATGTTCAACGCGAAAAAACAAGAACCCACAAATGTGAATCACTTGCACTCATCCAAGCCTCCAAACACAAAATTGTACAGACCACCCCTCAGACGGGAGCCCAAACATGGCAGGAAAACATGGTTTCTGGATGTTCCTGTCGGCGATACGAGGAAGTTACGATGTTGTCTGAAAGCGGAGTACATACCCCCAAATGGCCACTTTAGTAGGGAGACTGATGATTTAACCAGCAACTTCGGCCGTCCCCAATTTTCAAACAAGTCCGCGGCAAGGCTCCAGCCCCGTTCCGTGGAGCCCTTGCGTAGAAGTCCATCGACCAAGTGGACCAGGCAGAAACCCCAGGAAATGTGACCCTGGCAGGAATTCCAGTGAACCTTTGCTTTAACATAGAGCCCAACCTTTGATATATCTATGAAATATAAAAAAGATTAAAAAGATATATACCGTATATTATATAACCCGTAGGTATTTCCAAGTCTCGTAAATGTTTAAACCTGGAAATATCTATTACCTGTAATACTGCACAAGGCGGTGGCGCAAGTTTCAATCATAGGAAACCTATAGGGAAGGTGAGTTATTGCGATGCATGGATGGATGATGATGGATGGTAGAGCGAACCCCATGATGGACCCAAAGATAGCTGAGGCTCTGAGTCTCTTTCTCTCTCTCTCTCTCGATGTGTTTCCTTCTCTATATCTCCTTCTCTTTGTGTCTCTCTATTTCTCTCTGTTTCTCTCTTTCTCTCTGTTTCTCTCTCTCTCTCTCTCTGTCTCTCTCTGTCTCTCTCTGTCTCTCTCTGTCTCTCTCTGTCTCTCTCTGTCTCTCTCTCAGTCTCTCTCTGTCTCTCTCTGTCTCTCTCTGTCTCTCTCTCTCTCTGTCTCTCTCTGTCTCTCTCTCTCTGTCTCTCTCTGTCTCTCTCTCTCTGTCTCTGTCTCTCTCTGTCTCTCTCTGTCTCTCCTCTTCTCCTCTTCTCCTCTTCTCCTTTTCTCCTCTCCTCTCCCCCCCTCTCTTCTCTCCTCTTCTCTCCTCTTCTCTCCTCTTCTCTGCTCTTCTCTCCTCTTCTCTCCTCTTCTCTCCTCTTCTCTCCTCTTCTCTCCTCTTCTCTCCTCTTCTCTCCCTCTCTGTTCGCTCCTTCTCTTTCTCTCTTTCTCTCTCTCTGTCTCTCTTCCTCTGTCTCTCTCTCTCTCTCTCTCCTCTCTCTCCTCTGTCTCTCTCTCTGTCTCTCTCTCTCTGTCTCTCTCTCTCTGCTCTGTCTCCCTGTCTCTCTCTCTCTCTCTGTCTCTCTCTCTGCTCTCTCTCTCTGCTCCCTCTCTCTGCTCTCTCTGTCTCTCTCTCTCTCTCTCTCTCTCTCTCTCTCTCTCTCTCTCTCTCTCTCTCTCTCTCTCTCTCTCTCTCTCTCTCTCTCTCTCTCTCTCTCTCTCTCTCTCTCTCTCTCTCTCTCTCTCTCTCTCTCTCTCTGTCTCTCTCTCTGTCTCTCTCTCTCTCTCTCTGTCTCTCTCTCTCTGTCACTCTCTCTGCCTCTCTCTCTGTCACTCTCTCTGCCTCTCTCTCTGCCTCTCTCTCTCTCTCTCTCTATCTCTCTGTCTCTCTATCTCTCTCTCTCTCTCTATCTCTCTATCTTCCTCTCCCTCTCACTCTTCCTGTCCCTCTCCCTCTCTCTCGAAAACTGTCGATTCTCCACCATCTCCTTTGTCTTTCCTGCCTTCTCCGTGATTATTGGAAGAAGTTGACGATTGGAAATCCGCTTCGCGCCACAGCCGTATGCACTTTTTGGACAGCTCCACTGCAAAAAGTGCTCGGAACCTGAGGTGCTTTTTAACATTATGACTTCCAAACGCGCTTCGCGCCACATCCGCGTGCAATTTTCGATCTCTCATCCTGCCAGGAGGCTCGGCACCCGCCGCTTTGGCAAGCCCACTTTTGCGACTTGTCTAAATTTTCGAGCATTTTGGATCTTCTTTCTACTGACTGTCTCTTCTCTGCCTCTTTTTCTTCTGACTCTCTCTTTTCTCTGACTCTTCTCACCGCTGTTGCTGCACCCGTCCATAAGTCGGAAGTTTGTCGTCTATATAAACTTCCTTCCTCAAGCTATCAAATATCATCGAGCTAACCTCCTGGATGCACTTTTGGGTCTCTTCTTGGGGATGGTTCTAATATAGACTCTTCAACGAGTTGGGGGTTGGAAGGCTACGTTCCCAAAAGGTACTGTTTTTCAAGATCTATGCGAGTTAGGCGGATGGTACACAGTAGAAAGACATTGTTGGCCATCTAATTTCTAGGCCCTAGGTTCGAGGCAAATCTCTCTGAGCCGCGAGCCAATCACCCACGCTCCCCAAACATTTTCTGATGATGCGAGCCAATCGTTCAAAACCGCCACCTTTCCCGCAATTGTCCCCGAGAAATTTCTGCCAACCACCAAAACGTCTCAAATTGCTACCATGAATTCCTTATGGATTTATCCGAGAATGGGCTGCCCTAAACTCCAATAGTTTTTCACCGTTTTCCGCCATTCTCATCCATTTTCCATGGTAACATTCTTCCCACCAGGACCTGCAGCCATGCAGAGACGACTTTGGGATCTAAGCCAGACTCCGGCAAGGAGAAGGACCACAATTTCGGCAATAATTGGATTGAACCTGGGCCATATTCGGCATGCCAAGCATGCCATGGAAGAACCGGCATCATCAGACCCTGCGCTTTCGAAATGTGATCCTCTAAGTTTCAGCCCACGGCATCCCCCAGCTCATTACGAAGCCAGGCCACTTTCTTTCCAAGCTCTCAAGACAACCTCACCTGGGCTGCCCTTGCACTGAAGCAGTCCTGCGACGTCAGTGATGAAACCGATGCGTTCATGGAGATATGACGGACAAACACATGGGAGAAATTGACAGGTCGACAAATACTTGATTAATATTAATTGTATACTACTCGTTACAGTTGGCTGTTTGATCGGTATTGATCGATCAAGGAATAGGAAGATAGACAAGGAGATGGTGATAGCGATAAATAAAGAAGTAAGCAACTGCGCCTACTATTAATGCTGTCTGTGCATAAACACATATTATACATAGTCATAGTATTTACATACCTGCAGCATACTACATGGCACTGCATCGCGTTATATGACAATGTTTCACACTACTTTAAATTAGTTACATGCATTACGTACCTTACATACTACCTACATTACATACAGTACATGCATTACATGTATTATATACATCAATACATTCCATTGCAGCGCGATACACCTTGCATTACTGTTTTGTTGCATTGCCCTTACATTGCGTTACATTGCAGAACCCGCGTAGCATTGCAAAGCATTACATAACAGTCATGTCATAGATTTTAACAAAAACATTACATTACATGCGTTGCAATACTTTCTTTCTACATCATAACATTGCATAAGGTTATCACATGAAATTTAGTTTGAAAACTTCCGAGTTACGGACGATGGTCATGGTTAGCTTTCACGCCATCATGTCAACCACATCATCATGTCAACCACCCATCATCAAGTAGTTGGGAAACGTAACAGTTCGGAAGCGTGTGTGCGTGTGTGAATTGACGTGTGAAAACATTCCCGGGCGCGAAACCTTGTGTTTTTTCGGGTGGTGTGGCTCTTGGAGTCGGCGAAGTAGGGCTGTGTTTCACAACCACGAGCCTCGATCTGGAAAAGTTGTCAACAAAAAGTCTACCTGTAGCGTGAGCTCGGTTTGCACTTTAAGACTTTTTAAAAACTCGGGTGCGTGGAGCACTTTTGGAAGAAGAGGTCGGAAAAACGCGCACGAGACTGTAGGGAGAGATCACTTTCACAAAAGCATTGCAAAAAACGGAGGGGATCGGAGCACGTTTGGAGGATGAGGTCGGAAAAATGCAATGATTCGTTGATTCACTGATTCGTTGGTTCGTTGGTTTAGTTCATTGCTTCACTGATTCATTGATTCTTTGATTCATTTGTTCGTTCAATCAGCTGCGCGTGGGACTTTTCATGTCACTGCATTGGCATCTCAACAACCATTTTCTCATTCGTTGATGCGCGTCACAACTTCAATACTTCATTGCTTCTGCATCTCAAAACTTTCCTATGATTTCCTATGGTTGTTGCAAGTTTTCCGGCATAAGTATACATAAGATCACATAAGCTGACATGACATTACAAAACAATAGATAGCGTTACGTTGCGGGACATTACATCACAGTCTTGTAACATTTCATAACATTGCAAAACATTGCATTGCATTTACACATGTGTCATGTGTGTGTAAAAAGCTAATACAAATACAAATATGTACATATCACATATTCGTGTACCCCTCACGCGCTTTAAAGAAAAAGCCCCTCCCCGCCTAGCTTCTCTTGGTTGCGCGGCCGGACCACTATCTCTTGTGACCTGTGCGGGTCAAAGGACCCGAAATGTTGCAATGATGTTAGGCTGGTCTCGTACAAGAGTTGGTGCGAGGGGAAATCGGTTGAACCCCACATGACGGCAATATATGTGTGTGTGTAACATCTGAATAGATGTAAAACTTCTCTCTTTTTCTTCCTTCTGTCCTCTCCCTTTTTAAACCTAATGCAGGGGGCCTGAGGCTTCTCAACAGGACTCAGGCCAACGAAGACGCCTGTTGAGAAGTGTGAAATCATTCTGGGACGCCAGGATGACGTACCTGCATTTTCTGACATAGCAAGGGGCCAAGCTCAGAACCCCAAACACTATAGTTTTATTTCTTCACGGTCGCCACAATCTGTTTTGGATGCATCAGAACCTTCCTCAGTATTTTCGCCGAGATCATGTCGCCGATTGTATTTTCGATTATTTGGATTATTTCGCCGATTGTATTTTCGATTATTTGGATTATTTCGCCGACTATGTCGCCGATGTATTTGGAATATTTTGCTGAAGATCGTGGACGTGGAAACTATTCAGGATCAGATTTGCATGTTTCAGGATTCAGTTCCTGCCGGATCATATAATGATCCATTCTTGTCTAGTGTGATTTCCATGGTGGCTCCGACATGGTGCCATGGAGCCATTTGAGGCAACCCTCTTTAGGGTGAGTGATGACTGTCCTGACTGCCGAATTAACACATTTTAAGTTGGTAATTCGTTTAAGTAAAGTGCAACAGCTGGCCTTTCCGTTTTGCACCGCTTTCTGAGTGTCCCGCTGATCCTGCGGTCCCTTGTGAAACCTCGTGGAATACACCTCTGTGACTGTGAAGCCGTGCTGAACATTCAGAAACCTCCTTTTTTGCAGCAATGTCACAGCGACAGAGCATCATGCCATGACAAAGGAACCAGGCAGGCACACGACTTCCAGGTGTGGTCCTCTTTCTTTTGATGGTTATCTGGTGAGGTGAAACATATCGTGCACCTAATTCGCTGGAACTTGAAAGCCGTTATATGCCCTTGTGGCTGACTTGAACACGGGCCTGGATTGGCACAACGCACGACCTTTAGGTTTAGGAACTGAATCCTGTTTTAATTAATTGTTTTGGTTTTCCTGTCTGTCATCAACTAGTCCCCCATTTGGTCCCTAATTTCCCCGCGTGCCTCTCCGTAATGTGTCGTGGGGTTTAGGTGTGTGCGCTGTTTTGGTCAGGTCCGTTTCGCCGTGTAGGTTGGTTCCGGAGGTCCGTCTGTTCCCCTCCCCCCCTGCGCTGTTTTTGGCCTTTTGCCCTTCGTGTGTCCGCTTTTTTCTTCCTCTTGCCTTTCAGGGTTGACCCGGCTCTGGCCGGGTGTGTGTGTGTAACATCTGAATAGATGTAAAACTTCTCTCTTTTTCTTCCTTCTGTCCTCTCCCTTTTTAAACCTAATGCAGGGGGCCTGAGGCTTCTCAACAGGACTCAGGCCAACGAAGACGCCTGTTGAGAAGTGTGAAATCATTCTGGGACGCCAGGATGACGTACCTGCATTTTCTGACATAGCAAGGGGCCAAGCTCAGAACCCCAAACACTATAGTTTTATTTCTTCACGGTTGCCACAATCTGTTTTTGATGCATCAGAACCTTCCTCAGTATTTTCGCCGAGATCATGTCGCCGATTGTATTTTCGATTATTTGGATTATTTCGCCGATTGTATTTTCGATTATTTGGATTATTTCGCCGACTATGTCGCCGATGTATTTGGAATATTTTGCTGAAGATCGTGGACGTGGAAACTATTCAGGATCAGATTTGCATGTTTCAGGATTCAGTTCCTGCCGGATCATATAATGATCCATTCTTGTCTAGTGTGTGTATATATATATTTATATTTATATTTATATATGTATGTATATATCTCTCTCTATCTGTGTGTGTCTATATATATATGTGTGTGTGCGTCTATATATACACAATTATACATATATATATATATTTATATATATATATATATTTATATTTATATTTATATTTACTTATGATTTTATCGCATACATTATTTTATATATATACCGTACACTTATATATTATATATTCATCTGTGTATTCTGTATTCGATGTGTTTTCTGCATCTAATGATCTTTTCCTGGTTCCATTTCTGAGCTCTACTTCAAGCCACTGATCTCAAGGACATCTTTGCATTTCGCCTCGACTCGTTGGCAGAGCTCGAGGCTCCGGAAGGTGCTGCCGTCACGTCCTCACCTGCGGGCTGGACCGAGTAACATGGAGATACATAGAGATGAATGGAAATCAATCATAATCATATGCATGATTTGATTAGAAATGTATAGTCATGCTGACAGAAAATATACTCTAACTTAATCAAAAGACACATGGAAAATAAGAAATGGGAACAGTGGATAAAACAAATAATTATATAATAGAGACTCTGTGAAACAATTGTTCTCGTTCTTGCGATCCCCTATCCCAGGCCTCCTTCCACTGCACCTTTGGCATCGCTTTGGGCATCGGCGCCTTTGAACGTAACTCTTGCCACTGCCTTGACCCCTGTGCTGTGTGCAGCTTTGGCTTTCGCAGGGGAAGGTGAAGATCGAGTGATGGAGTCAACCACTGGTTGCACAGTTGCCTCCGTAACCATAGCTGGCCTTTCTGGCCCTTGGAATTGAACCTGTTTCGGTTGAGCCTTACCAGCCACACCTTTGCTTGCTGCTGCCACCGGTGCTGCAGCTGCCGGTGTTGCTGGTGGCGGTCCTGGGGGTGGTGCTTTGGGGAAGGGCTTTGACGAAACCTTCTCCAGGTTCGGGCGACGGAGAAGACCAGGCTTCCCAGATGGAGGTTTCACGTCCAAGGGCGGCACCTTGATTGGGGTCTTCTCTTCGTCTGTTGGGGCTGGGAGCACCACCGCAGGGTCCTGATCAGGATAGCCAGCATCTTTCCGGGGAAGGAAACGAGGAAAATGGGGCGGAATTGCAGGCCCAGTGGCCTCAGGCTCTGTGATGGTCTGGGCCTCAGGACCAGGGCTTTGTGGTGCTTGGTTGTCACACGGCTTGGCCAAATCACCTACCAGCGCATTGCCAGACTGCCCTTCTTCTTGCGGTTCCGGCTCCTCAAATGTCTCAGATGACCCGCCATATGTCCCAGACGTGATGCCCGGTGGATCCAACAATTCGGATGCCTCTGCAACTTCCTGCACAAGTTCCCCCGCAACAAGCGTTTCTGCAAGTGCCTGCGCAGGAGCAGCCTCCTCCCCAACATCACTTTCCTCAGCAGTGTGTGCCTCAGGATTGGGTGCCTCAAGAGCACTAGCTGATGGCTCAGCTGCACCAGTCTTCTCCATGGCAGGTCCCTCGACTCTTTCTGATCCTTCCTCTTGAGGCTCCAAAGCAGCCTCCTCTGGAGTGGCTTCGGGTTCAGCTGCCTTCTCCGCTGCCTGTGGGGCCTCCGCCGCATCACTGGATGCAGCTGCCGCAGGCACCGCCGGAGGTGCTCCGGGCCGCGATCTCGAGGAGCTCCGCGTACTGCAGGCAGGTGTCTTGACGGGCATCTTGGGAGCCTCGAAGTCACCATGCTGGGGACGCACCCGGACCAGCGACTTCGGCCTGGGTGTGATTTGTGAATTGGGGATGCCACACAAGGAGCTATTGACATAAACTGTTTGGGTAGGGGGGGGGGACCACCAATTTTTTGGGGAAAGTTCCCCTTCCATCTCTCTGTCGCATGCCTCGGAGCACCTGCTCTGGCTTTGTGGCAATGGCGCACACCGCTACCTGCTCCTCAGTTGCTTCGTGTCCCTCGGGCATCTCAAGACGCCGTGTCTCATCATGGGTAGGGACCAAGTCTACTGGCAAACCACTCACTTGCGCACCCTACTTTCCCCTCACTTGCGCACACCCCCTCACTTGCGCACATGCACATCTACTTTCCCCTCACTTGCGCACACGCACACCTACTTTCCCGTCATCTGCGCACACATACTTTGCCCTCTCCCCAACAAAGCAATGATCAGCATGCTAAGTCATTATTTAAATCTTCCCCCCCTCTGCCCTACCTCTGCCCTACAAAGCAATGGGCTACATCCTAAATATAATTATCTAAATCTTCTTCCCCTCTGCCCTGCAAAGCAATGGGCTACATGCTAAGTCATTATTTAAATCTTCCCCCCTACAAAGCTATGGGACATGCTAAGTTTTTATTTAAATTTTCCCCCTCTCTGCTCTACAAAACCATGGGTTTCTTGCTAAGTCATTTTTTAAATCTTCCCCACATCTGCCGCACAAAACCATGATCAGCATGCTAAATCATTAGTTAAATTTTCCCGCCCTCTGCCCTACAAAGCAACAATGGGCTACATGCTAAATCACCCCCCCGGCCCTACAAAGCAATGGGCTACATGCTAAATCATTATCTAAATCTTCCCCGCTCTGCCCTACAAAGCAATGGGCTACATGCTAAATCATTATTTAAATCGTCCCCCCCCACTGCCCTACAAAAACTAAATCATTTTTTTCAATCTTCCCCCCCTCTTGCCTACAAAGTAATGATCACCATGCTAAGTCATTATTTAAATCTTCCCCCCCTCATCCCTGCAAAGCAATGATCAGCATGCCAAATCATTATTTACATCCCCCCCCCAGCCCTACAAAGCAATTGGCTACATGCTTAAATATGTACCTATCTATATCTTCTTCCCCTCTGCCCTTCAAAGCAATGGGCTACATGCCAAGTCATTATTTAGATCTTCCCCCCCTCTGCCCTACAAAGCAACGGGCTACATGCTAAATCAATATTTAAATCTCCCCCCTCTGCCCTACAAAGCAATGGGTCACATGCTAAGTCATTATTCAAATCTTCCCCCCCTCTGCCCTACAAAGCCATGGGCTACATGCTAAGCCATTATTCTTATTATTTAAATCTCCCCCCCTCTGCCCTACAAAGCAATGATCAGCATGCTAAATAATAATTTAAATCTTCCCCCCATCTGCCCTGCAAAGCAATGGGCTACATGCTAAGTCAATATTGAAATCTTCCCCCCTCTGCCCTGCAAAGCAATGGGCTACATGCTAAATCATTATTCAAAGTTTCCCCCCTTGATGACTGGGATGTATTGGGATATACCTCAGGTGCGAAACATCTAAGCCTAAGCACTTGATGGTGCAAATGGTCTACTCCTGAACGGTGGAAGTTCAGAAGTCCAAGCAGTAGCCACTGATTAGACACTTGAGAAAGCACTTGCTGAAAGCCGTCCCGCTACGGTGTTAGATCTTCGCATGCATGTGCAGACACGCTTGACGCTACTCTGCAAGATCTTCTCTTCAACGATACTCAAACAGGTGCATGAGTGGAAGTTCAATGGCCCAAGCAGCAGCCAATGCTTGGACATGCTGGATTGCAATTGCAGAAAGCCGTCATGCTACAGTGGTAGAACTTCTGTTGCATGCGCATTGGAAGTTCAGAAGTCCAAGCAGCAGTCAACGATTGGAAACTTGAGAAAGCACTTGCAGAAAGCCGTCATGGCACGGTCAAGCAGCAGTCAATGCTCTGGATTGCAATTGCAGAAAGCCGTCATGCTACAGTGTTAGAACTTCTGTTGCATGTGCATACACACTTGCTGCTACACGGTAAGATCGTCGCCATCTGGCGGAAAACTCACGTGCACAAGCGAGGGGAAAATCACGTGTACAAGCGAGCCTTCGTCCAAGTCTACTTGGCCTTACTAGGTACCTGTCAAGCGGGGACCCCAACTGCCTGGAAAGATCTGCTTAATGCATCGCGGATATAATCATTGGTGCCATCTAGGAGGTGAACCAAGCAAACCCAGCAAAATAGCGAGGCTGACGCAGCAGAAATTGGAATCGAACTCGCAGCAACAAACAAAAGTTCAGGATTTTCGTTCAAACCTCAACGCATCACCAAAAATGATAAAAATGCGTTGAACCCCGCTATCATCCGCTGTCCGAGTTGCTACTGCTACGAAGAGAACTGCCTGCATCATTCAACACGGGGCGGCCACGCCACTGCTCACCCACCTCTAGATCAACGTCAGCCTGAAGCCCGACATTCGCGACCCTGGGTCCACTAATTTCTGGCTGAAACGCACAGGCCCAGGTGTGTAACACGTGAATGTAGTTCGCTTTCCAAGTGCGACCTGCAATTTAGGTAACCAATGCAACTCCCATTCTGCAAAGCGGGTTCGCATCCCTTCAAAACATTTCAAGAATCCCCTCATAATCCCTTTCACCAGTGGTCACTGCCATCATTTGCTATCAGCACTGCCATCCCCATGGCCATGGTCCCGATGGTCTAAGGCACCAGGTCGGGCGCATGGCATCTCCAACTCGCTGCCTCCAAATCCACATCCCAAGCCTCTGCAGCGCCATTCGCCTTGGCACCGGCATCCGACTGGTGAGACCGGAAGACTGCTGCGGCGGCGCGGGTGAACTGGTCCAACCCCAGCAAGCCGAACATGGCACATGGACCACGGGCAGCGTTGGGCCTGGGGGTTGCAGCCTGGCAGTTTTCGGATCGTTTCTAGCTTGTAGCTGCTCAAAAAGTTGAAGTCCGACCACATGCAGCTTGGTTGAGGGGCTAAGTGAGACCACTGAAGGCAACGACCTGCAAATTTTGTGACGTTGAGATCTCCTTTATGATTGTTCAGGGCTTCCAGCTGGTTCAGTTTTTGTCTTCTGGGGTCTCCCTCTTCTACTTTGCACATCTGTCTTTGGGGAGAATGCCCTGAGCCAGAGTAACTGCTGCAATATTCAGTCTTTTGGAGACGAAGCAAAAACATAGCTTCTGGCTAGTGAAATGATTGTCCTTCTTCACATGGCCTTTCGGGCTATATCACATAGCGCACCAACAATCATTGTCCTTTACAAGTGATACACCAACTTACTTCATGTCCCGTTGGTAAACATATAAAATCATATGTCACGTTCATCGTATTGATCCATTTGGATTGGTGCCATCATGACATCCACTGCCTTGCCGGCCGCCGTTGCTTCAGGTTGCTTCCTTTTCGGGCGCTTCTACGCATCCGCCACGCAGGCAGCCGGAGCGCCCGACCCGGTGAGACGTCAGATCCGACGGATCGAGGCGGGTTGAAGACCCGGCTTAGCCGGAGGGCGATCACCCTATTTTTCTAGAACTACCTGGGGGGAATGGATGATCGGACCAGCCAATCTTAGAGAGAAAATGAAACTCGGGAACTCTTTCAATCATCATAATGCTGACATATCATGCTTATAATATATCATATTAGCATATCATAATATGACATAATATCAACATGTCAAAACTATAATAAATCATAATATATCATAATATATCATCATCCCACTACACACGTCAGCGCGGTTGCTTCTCCACAATGAAGGCATGGTAGCCCAAGCCCTGGCCGTTGGACCCTGAGCCCAAAGCGATTCGTTTCCCGAATTTCCCGTCAACTCCTATTCTTATCCCATTATTATCCTAGTGGCCAGCGGTCGTTAGTCACAATCCCATCTAGAATCACCCATATCATATCACATCACATCACATCAGATCATGTCATGTCATGTCATGTCATATCATATCATATCATATATCATATATCATATCATATCATATCATATCATATATCATATATCATATCATATCATATCATATCATATCATATCATACATATGTGTGTGTGATATACGGTAAATCATATGAAACCTATATCTGTTTGCCAGCCAATCATTGATGGTCATAATTTGATTTGCAAGCTTTCAACGATTTTTGGTTCACTCATCGTGAAATTCTGAGCAGTTCACCTATTATGGCCAACCCTGCGGCCACTTGCCTTGCGAGGGAATCGTGCCCTCACGGTCTCCCCCACGACATCCTCAAATTCAAAGCATTGCACCACAACTGTGGAACCTGTTGCAGGTATAAAAACAGCAAAAGTGACCCGTATTGAGAGGTTACATCGAAAAGGTGCTCAGGGGGGCACAGATCCCAGAAGTTTAAGATCTGTTTCCCGTTCCCTTTCTGGACTTGGCTGGATTGGCAGGCCAAAAGGCAGAATAGTCAATCCAGTCAATCCACGAAAAAAAGTGATAAATATTGAGGTAGACTGACACACGTAAACTCAATAGTGGATTAACCCACTGTCGGGGCCATAGTTTCAATTATATACATTATGTACTTGTTCGATTCCAGCAAATTGTGTTTGTAAAGTTGTTAGAGATTGTTGTAAACTGTAAACTATTGTTGTCTCGTGACACTTTTGCCAAAAAGAAAATACATGTTGCATCATGCTGCAAACATATTGTATCTCAAGACAGGCAGGGGTACTTCATGGTATTTCATTCGTGTTCGTGCTTTGCATCTTATTTTACACCTGCCAAATCCCTGCCCAAGGTGCAAGGTGATTTCCAGTGTGCGCGCGCAGGAAGATCATGTCACCAACAGCCTGACACTCGAAAATGTGCAGATGCGACAAGTTTAGGTTCCCCAAATTAATCACAGAAAGGAGATATTCTATCCCCAGCCCCTGGGAGCCACACCACCGGGTGAGCCATTGGCCCGTTGCGTTCGATGACTAGCTCCTGTCTCGGCCCCCGCTGAGCATTGAGACAGCTCACCTGGACGACAAAACGTCAGAGCAGAAAGAACAAGGATTCGCGTGGTCCTTTAATGATGTCTATACCCTCCAAGCACCTAAAAAGAATGTTGTAAGGCGCCCATTTTTTTGATGTTTTGCCATATTTTACCCATGTTCATAGGTACTTAGAGGGTCAAATTATGGATGATATGATGAAATTCCCAGCACCAAAAAGTTTGTTGACAAGTTGACAACCAACCGATCATGAGAACAGCTGGGCAGCTAAGCCACCTGGTCACCATTGACTTCCAATCGAAAACCATTCGTACTGGTCAGAAAAATCCTGTTGCAGCACCACTTTGCTGGGTGATTGGATGGATAATTTATGATAATTTAAGGGAAATGTTGCAGGAAACCAAATTTTTTGTCATGAAAAAATGAGAAAAAAAAACATGTTCCTTTTGTGGTGTTTGCGGACAGGGATCAATCCACATGCCTGTGACTAACAACACGATACCACAGTCATGAGGACGTTCCAGTGATTGCGGCCACAAATTGTATTGACATGCTGTGACGCTCATGTTGCTCCATTGTGGCCCATACCCAGTTCCAGCAGTTCAACTACAGTGGTTTTATGGGTGTCCTGTCTTCATGGTAGACATCTCCCACGGAACGTTTGTCAACTTTGAAGGCCTCTGCAGACTCCTCACCAAGAACCCAAGCATTCGTGGCAAAAACAAAGTTACCAACCTTGTCTGCTTTGTCTGTGCAAAGTCCCAAGTTGAGAACCATCAACAAATTGTTCAAAATCACGAGTTGAAAAAATCAACAAAATCTAGTCTAGTCTAGGTTGTTCCTAAGCAATTTATTGATCACCAACGTTTGCCGTTGGCAGCGGTCCTTTCGAGATGATTTTGCTCCCACCTTGAAATCCTTGACCTCGGCACTGCAAATGTTCCAAACCCCACTGGGCATCTTCAAACTGAGCGAAGGACACCCAGGTATTTGCCATTGTACGCCCTGGCGAGAAGCAACGCGGAACGCAGGATAAATCTCGGTTTCAACCTGATGCAACACATTTGGGATATATTGGGATTACAACTATCAAACACGAGGATTCCAAACTCTCCTTAAGAGAGGCCGGTCAATGCTGCAGCTGGTTTCGAAGTGGAAGCTTCAGGCAGGCAAAAAACAGGAAAAGGAAGATGTCGCACAAGTCCTAAAGGCCACAACTCTGTGGCTCTGCAAGCAAAGCTGTCCTGGCCATCCTCTGGACATGGAAGAGAAAACATGAATGAGGAAAAACATCTCCTCCGGAGAAGACACAACCCCGCAAAGAATCAAGCAGCTGAACCCAATCAGCACAGGTACCCGAGAAAACGAAGCAAACCAAGGGATCCAGTTTCAACTCATGGGTCCCAACATCAAGAGGAAGGCCACTTGGGTCACCAACGACAACCAGCCGGCGACGGATAGCCCGCCCACCGGTGTGAGCCAGGAGAACTGCAACTTGCTCAGAGGAGCACTTCACAGCGCCAGGATCAAGCCCTGCAACGACAGCAACGGTTCCACAAAGCCGATGCAAAATGGCCCGGGTCTCAGGTGTGCAGCCACCCTGCTGTTCCCATACCAGACCCCGGCGGCCTCGCAAAAGCTTTCAGTCCGGTTGTGGGCCCGCTTGCGTTCGGCATACGCCAGACAGGCAGCCCCAGCGGCTTGGCATGTAGCATCCCAATGTCTGTCCCCAAATGCATTGACAACGGCAATATCCAACGCCAAGGCAGGTTGGCTTTGAGCCTGTGTGCCGTCAGGCAGGCGGGCAACCTGCAAGACCCCAGGCCCTTCAAGTACCGGTCGGACCTGAGCCCGCTGGCCAGATCTCGGAGACTATTGTGGAAAGCCACATGACCACCACCATGCAACTCAAGGCATGGCAGCCTTTGCAGCCTGATGTTTCTCCACACACGTTGACTCCCAGACGCTGCCTTCCCTTTCTCTCTTTCCTTCTCTGCTTGGGGCCCTCTGGCGGGGACCGGGGCCCACGAGCCCAAAATCCGACCTCCTACGACAGCAAAGAAACTGGATCTGGAAGTGTGAGTGAAGGCGTGAGCCCAAGCACTGAAGCAGCGCCATCATCACTGCCGGCCCGGCTGTACCAACTGGGATGCCCAAGTCGGGTACTACCTGCTGCGCTTCTCCTGTGGCGCTGAACGTATGACTGCACGCCTTTGTGGTGATGGCCTCCATGCTTTTGATACTGGTGTCCATGCTGCCTTCACTGAGCTGATGGGCTTCCATCCCCACCCCCTGGCCTGAGCAATATATCCTCCCTGTCCAGTTTGGTGGTTTGGGATTGCGGCCTGCTGCTGCCATTGCCGGTGCAGCTTATGTCGGCTCTCGCGCTCCTACATTTGAGCGGTGTCGGGCCTTGTGGGTTCTTTTCAATTTGCGCGCTGCCCTGCAATGATCCTGGGCCAGCTCTGCGCTCCTGCTCTCCCAATTCCTTTTTTGCGGGATGATCCATCCAAACTCACTCAAGCCTTTTCGAATTGTTTTTTGAATAAGGCTTCTTTAGATGGCCAGCCAACGCGCCGAACTATGTCGACCTGTTTGGCAGCCCGCCCCTTGCAATAAGCAACACAAAAGGAATCGGAACGCAAGACTTCATAGTTGCCAAAAGCTTGGATGGTGCAGGCCGCGAAGCCGGTGTAGTCAATGGGAGCCTGCGCCGCGACAGCAGGGGCGATAACGGCACTAGAGAGCCGCAGCCCAAGCTGTGGCAGGATTCCTTGCCAATGGCGCAAGCTGCGTAGGACTTTGCCAGAAGGGCCGCAAGTAAGCCATCATCAGCAAAACATGGGGCGATGTCGAGCCGGGCAAGAGCGGACAGCACAGGCATTGAATGGTGCTGCCCTCCAGCAGCAGTGCAACTCCCAAAGATTCAAGCAGCAAGCATTGGACAACTGCATGGCAAGCGCCCTTGCTGCCCCCCCCCAGCAACAGAGTGAATGATCTGATCATGACAAAACATCTTGGTAGCCAGATTTGTGGGATAAGTGTATTCCAGCCATCGGCCCAGCCCGGGCACCACCCCGCCGCATCCTGGTCAAAAAAAATGTCGATCGACAACGTTGTGGGCGTTGCCTCATCATAAGGCAAACAAACGCGGTCAATGTCAGCGCCATGGTGCTGCAGTCGTTGTCGGTGCAAGCGCGGCATAACCTCAACAGATCTGACGCCGTCAGCAAGCTGGTGGGGTAAGAGGTGGGCTCGGAAAGCTCGCAGCTCGGAGCGCAAAAGCACCTTCCCACAACCGCCAGAGCGCTTCACCAGCACATAGGGGCCGCATATCAGCACCACCAGTCTTGGAGACTTTCTGCTACGCAGTGCCACGAGCACCTCCAAGATAGGGGCGGGGCCCAGCTGGAGTGTGACCATCTGCCAGCAATCTGACAAGCTGCGTCAGCAAGTGCACAGCTCTTGATTGCCACAACCAGCTCCTGAAGCAAGTCGGGGCGGAGGCCGGCCTGGCGCCGCACCGCGTGAAAACTGCGAATGGCTTTCATCACATCATCCACACTGGCTTCATTGGCAGGCGGGGCAGCAGGCCGGGAAGACAGGGCGTGATGCGGCGGCCGCCCTGGAAATTTTCTGTGGTAGGCTTTGCCAAAGGGGCACCACTCCTCAGCTGTTGCATAGCTGTACTGGGCAAGCCTCGGCGGGCTAGTTGGATGGCAGCTTCACGCTGGCATGGTTTTTGGGAGCCTGGGAGTCGAGTTGCCGGTGCTGACCTCATCCCACAAGGCCCGCCGTTCCCCCAAGTTCCACCGTTGTGGTTGCGACGCTGCTTGGCACGGCCCACAGGGATGCCAAGGCAGGTCTTGGGATCCCTGTACATGCCCAAACCAGGCGACACTGCCTATGGGCCGGTGTGTCAGCACCGCGCCCTAGTTCACCAGATAGAAGCACTCGGGACACATCACAGTCAAGGCCTTTGCTCTCAGCCGCTCCACCGGCGGAACTCCTGGAAGAGCACGCAGTTGGTGGGCATCCATTTGTGCCCGCAGTGCTGCCGAGTGATTTTGTGATTGCTCAATACCTGAATATGAACCATCTGAGGACGCACATACTACCAGCGATGTTGGATAGAACACTGGCAGGGTTTTGAACCATGCCCATCTTGTGACCACATTGTACGGTAACAAACTTGAATCGAGTCACAAACAGGCTGTGACTCTTTGGAAACCTGCACAGCAGCCACTCCGTTTAGAAGGGTGTGTGTTCCACAGTTGGAATGCCCATGTCACAAAATGATGGTAGAGCATCCGCCCGCCGCCCGCGGCCACTGTTTCCAATGGGAAATGGAAATGGCGATCTTATAGGTAATCGATCCGGTTGTAAGCAAAGCACAAGGGATTTTGCAAACTATTTTCAATTCAAGGTTTTGCAGCTGATAGGGGGTCTTTGGAAATGGATTCTAGGGTCCTTGGTGATTTAGTTCTACCTCTGATTGTGTGATATATGTTTTCCATTATTTATTTCTTTATCTATCTTATCTATCAAGCTAGGTGGCCTTGGTATATACTAGTGAAAATGATCCCAAAGGAAAGATCGTCTTGGGCTAGTGTCCCTTGGATGTTTCAATATATTGTTAATTCTTATCCGCCATTCGGTAATCATGCCAAGATGGGGATTGATAATTAGTGTCTCCATCCATTTACCCTTCTATTCGTGGAAGTACCAGTCAGAACAAACGATCACCATTCGATCGTAGTTCAAATAGGTTTTTTTTGGGTTGGGTACTTTGATAAAATATAAGTATATTTTATATATATATATCAATATATGCAGCCGATAGGGGGTCTTTGGAATTTGATTCTAGGGTCCTTGGTGATTTAGTTCTACCTCTGATTGTGTGATATATGTTTTCCATTATTTATTTCTTTATCTATCTTATCTATCAAGGTAGGTGGCCTTGGTAAATTCTAGTGAAAATGATCCCAAAGGAAAGATCGTCTTGGGCTAGTGTCCCTTGGATGTTTCAATATTATTAATTCTTATCCTTCTTTCGGTAGTCATGCCAAGATGGGGGTTGATAATTAGTCTCTCCATCCATTTACCCTTCTATTTGTGGAAGTGCCAGTCAGAACAAACGATCACCATTCGATCGTAGTTCAAATAGTTTTTTTGGGGGGGGTTGGGTACTTCGATAAAATATAGAATATATTATATCTATGTTGTGCAATTGATCTGGGTTCTCTGGAAATGGATTCTTGGGTCTTTCCAACTATTTAATATATGATAATGGAATTGAATTGTATTATAGGTACTTTATTATTTTCCCTATGAGGTAACCAATTGGTTGATTAAATGGGTATCATCTTACCATTGGTTATTTAATATAACTATTTGTTTTTTACCATACTCATAGAAAATTTTATGTGCATTATTATGTTCATTCTTAGGCAACCACTTGGTTGGCTAAATTGATATCATCCCAGTAACGGTTAGGGTTATTTTATTTTATTATATTCCTTGGATTAACTGGGGTCCACTACCATTTCTGAAGGGTACCAACCAATTGCTGGATCAAAATGGAAAAGGTATCAACCACGCTCTTGTTTTTTCTAGGGTGGTGCCCCCATATACCTTTGGTATAAAGCCACCAATGTTAATGTTATCCCTGATTATCATTATTTTTTTTCAAGTACTAAATTTCCCCCATTATTTCTACATCTACATCATATATCCTTTAAATGCAATGTCCAACAGCTAATTTGCCGAAGTCAGGGCGCAGAAATCAGCACCCTGAGTTAGGAAAAAAAAAAAATTGACGATATCCTAGGTGTTTGGTGGGGTATTGCCTAAGTAAGGTCGCAAAAATCTGCACCTAGACTTGGGCAATACAGAGGTTGTACCCTGGGATTTAGGAAAAAAAAAATGCCGATCTCAGGGTGCAGAAATTGGCATGTGGACTTGGGAAACAGCCCTACTATTATATTCTACCATGATTTTTGCCGCAGAGGATTCGGGGTCCTTGATTTTGAGATTTAGGAAAAAAAAAAAATTGCCGATCTTTTGGCTTGGGGGACCCCGTATCCGTCGCATCCGCACATCCGTCGCATAACAATATTTTATTTTATATTTTATCGAAGTACCAACCCCAAAAAAAAACCTATCTGAACTACGATCGAATGGTGATCGTTTGTCCTGACTGGCACTTCCATAAATAGAAGGGTAAATGGATGGAGAGACTAATTATCAACCCCCATCTTGGCATGACTACCGAAAGAAGGATAAGAATTAATAATATTGAAACATCCAAGGGACACTAACCCAAGACGATCTTTCCTTTGGGATCATTTTCACTAGTATATACCAAGGCCACCTACCTTGATAGATAAGATAGATAAAGAAATAAATAATGGAAAACATATATCACACAATCAGAGGTAGAACTAAATCACCAAGGACCCTAGAATCAAATTCCAAAGACCCCCTATCTGCTGCATATATTGATATATATATATAAATAAATAAAATGTTTTATCAAAGTACCCAACCAAAAAAAACTATTTGAACTACGATCGAATGCTGATCGTTTGTTCTGACTGGTACTTCCACGAATAGAAGGGTAAATGGATGGAGACACCAATTCTCAACCCCCATCTTGGCATGATTGCCGAATGGCGGATAAGAATTAACAATATATTGAAACATCCAAGGGACACTAGCCCAAGACGATCTTTCCTTTGGGATCATTTTCACTAGAATTTACCAAGGCCACCTACCTTGATAGATAAGATAGATAAAGAAATAAATAATGGAAAACATATATCACACAATCAGAGGTAGAACTAAATCACCAAGGACCCTAGAATCAAATTCCAAAGACCCCCTATCGGCTGCATATATTGATATATATATATATATATATAATATATTTATATTTTATCAAAGTACCCAACCAAAAAAAAAAACATATTTGAACTACGATCGAATGGTGATCGTTTGTTCTGACTGGCACTTCCACGAATAGAAGGGTAAATGGATGGAGACACTAATTCTCAACCCCCATCTTGGCATGATTGCCGAATGGCGGATAAGAAGTAACAATATATTGAAACATCCAAGGGACACTAGCCCAAGACGATCTTTCCTTTGGGATCATTTTCATTAGTATATACCAAGGCCACCTACCTTGATAGATAAGATAGATAAAGAATAAATAATGGAAAACATATATCACACAATCAGAGGTAGAACTACATCACCAAGGACCCTAGAATCCATTTCCAAAGACCCCCTATCAGCTGCAAAACCTTATTCCGCGAAATTTGACTACGGCGGATCCCAAATCAAAAGTAAGGAACCTGCTAAGATGTTCTGCCCAAAAAAAAGAAACAATTTGAAACCATCATCAACATGGAGCTAGCTGAAACCCTGAAACCCCCAATCAGCCTTAAGAAAATCGTATCTCCAGGTTTCACCACTGGATGCACAGATGCGGGGCTGGCACTTGCCATATCGCCGCCTCGCCACGGCCCATGCTGGAACGACATCTGACACCGAAATCTGAAATAGTTCGACCAAAAAAATGCAATCTTTACAATCATCCTCATTCATCCCATCATGGGTAGATTGGAATTCTTCATCTCATGAAATTTGAATTTGTGTAGCCAAATTCCATTGCAAACCACCCCGCTGGACACCGCACCTGGACCACCCCATGTTTGCCACTCTCGTGCGGACAGGACCTGGCAGCCAAATTTCAATTAGTTCCGGGTTCTTACATGTAGGCGTTTCAAAACCTTGTGCTTCATGATTTGCACGCATTTTCTGCATTCAACTATATAATTGAAATAAGGGTATCACCCGCCTCTGTTGTCACTTCAGCAGCCGCCAGCGGCAAGGCCACGAGCAGTAAAACACTCATCCCCCCACAGTCCAAACGTGTGGTCCTAAGTACACGAAGTTTTTAGGAATATGTGCGCGCATGCTTGAAAAGAAAAACACTATAGACTATAATGTTTGCGTGTTTTTGCCGTATGCGGAAGTAATTACGATTGAATTTTGCTGGATTGATCTTTCCAATTTGGCGATATGATGGTGAAACAAACTCTTTCTGAGAAGTGTAGCGCCCTAGGGTTTCATGCCGATGTGTTCACAATTAAAATATCGTTTATTTGGGCTTACATGATTGATTTGATGGCATGCTCGCTGTACAAGCCACGCGGACTGGAACCAAAACAATTGATTTTTTGTTTGACCCTGGGTTTTGACGGCTCAAACTGTTTGCTCATTTTTCGTCGCCACACCAAACGCAACAAAAGACAATATCTGGTCCAACCCGGTCAAACGATACATTCTGCAGACAAACATCAGGCAGAAACATGACGTCAAATCCCCTGACCCCATAAAATTATATAAAATTTTCACGTAAGCTCCCAATATGCAAGGAAGTGTCATTGCAACCCGCTCACATTCCGTTTCCTTCCGTTCCTCCTTCCTTCCATCCTTCCCTCCTTTCCCCTCCTCCGCCCGGGTCTAGCTAATCACTACATACTTTAGGCGCAGCTGGATACAAATCACGGCAAACTCACCAGATCTTTGGTTCCTTCCTTCATAAAATTTCATAAGGGCAAAATACAACGTTTTTTCGTATCTCGGGCACTTAGAGTTCCCCAATTTTAAACCGAAGTGACGGCTGTACAAACTCCACCGGCATGCATCACAGAGGATTCACATACTCAGTGACTTGAAACCTAACTTCCACCCAGGCACCTCAACCTCCACCTTTTCCATGGCATGCTTTGATCAAACACAGCTCGTGCTGGTTCTTGAAGTTAATTTTATGTCGCTGCGATCTGTGCTGAGCTAAACTGTGTTTCCAATGCATTTTCGATATACGATGACCCGTGCCAATACTTGGGTGTTGGACTCTCTGCGTTTTTTTTTGGTTCGTTTCCCTGCTGTTGGTCCGTAGTCTGTGCTGGCGCTTACCTAGCGAGGAGGCATGCAACTGAGGAAGGTGGGTCGGGGGCTTGGTTTGGGAGGTCGCTGACGGCTGGGCCAAGGGCCATTGTTGTTGGTGGCGGTAAAGTTGGGGTGGAGGAGGGTGGCGGCGAAAGCTGTCATGGCCGCCCAGCGGGAAATCCACCCCGCGACGGCAGGTGTTCGGAGGGGAGGCTGGCCGTGGAAGTTTTGTGCCCGGCCAGCAATTTGACGAAACTATGCGACGCACGGCTCCATCGATTGCCAGCTTCGATGCTGGCGGCCGGCCAAGGCGTTTCTTCTTTGGAGGGAAACCAAGGTAGTGTCGATGGCCTTCTGGGCCCGTTCCAAACGGGTAAGCCAGTGGCGATGACCTCGATGCGGCGGTCATGATGTTCGGGCGCGAAAGTGCTGAGGTCCCGCACGAGGACATACGCTACCACGGTCGCACCAAATTCTAGGCACATCCGCGCCGCTGCATTTTCCGGGGCAAGCCGCGCGATGGTCCCCGACAGGGTCACGGTTTTGCAAATCTCCACAAGGAAACCGTACAAACTGGTCACCAATCGGCTATACAGCTATACACTGTACAAACGTTTGCGCCGACTTTTTGGTCAAAACTACGCGATCTTTGGACGCAAGTTCTCCAGACAGAATCCGCTTGCACACACGAACGCGCTGCCTCCATAAAGTTTAGAACGGGATGCCTTGAGCCAATGGCCTTGTTGGTATAAACCTATGATTGATAGCTCCATTAATATATTGCAGGTGCCCGAGGTCCTGAAAGCAGAGATGTTGGGTCAGGGAGCATCAACTCAAGAGACAAAGAATATAAGCACATGGCACTCAGTTCATCAGATTAACCGCTAGCTACCCATGACAAATTGACATTATGATGAGAGACACACGGTGAGTCACGAAATGCGGCTAGCGGACTATATAGTTCCCGACCGGTTTCAACATGCATGCGGACTAAGAGACAATGCCGGAATTGACCGATCAACAGCAACACAGAATTAATGCTGGAAACACCCCCGTGAAGGCGCCGTCAACGTTTTAATTATTAATATTTTTGTGGGTTAGCATTTTTGCTTGATTACCAGTCTTGTGCGGACATCTGTCACTCCACGCTCTGCCGGGAACAAAATCATAAAATGACACCTGGGGAACCATAATGATAGCAGCAACCCTTCACTGATTTGTGTTTGATTCCATTGTTTGTCTTACGCATCCGCGGCCTCGAGCGCGTCATTTCCATAAATACCCTTCATTTCGGACAACCTGGTAAGACCGAGGGCCCACCCCAACGAGAATAGCAACTACGGGGAAAAAATTCGAGCTGGTAACCACGGAAAAAACAGGCACAAAAAGAAACAAAATACAGTAAACAAATTCCAAGGACGCAAACGCGATCCAACAGCGAACATGTGCGCAAGACCACACGACGATTTTGCACCGCATCGATGACCCACGTGTAGGAACAGCCGCCGCCGATCTAGATTTTCTGTTGACCAAGCGAGGCCGCGGGGAATATCTATACATGAAGGTGGGTAAGGGAACAAAAGTAGTGCGTGAGGGTGCACGAAGGTGCGGACGCACGATGCTTTCTTCACACTACTCGAAACCACACACCACGACACCATCCTCACACTCATCGACCTCTGGCACGCTAAGCCATCGAAAGTCGCATGACGGAAAATGTTTAATCTGATTTTTACCGTTGTAAATTTTCAGAAGTGGTTTGTTTGTCGCTTTGGCAACATCAGATTGTCCCTGTTTTACATACCCTTCTTGGGTCGAGCCCTTGGAGTGTTGAAAAACATATTTCTCCCGTTGTTAATTTTTTTTCTCCGTGCAGCTAATAACATTTTGACTGCGTTGGGGCCACAATGTTGCAAGGTTTGAAGTACATGGCGTGTTCCGAACTAAATGAAAATAATGAAACCAGAGCCGCGCCAGAAAAGAAACAACATGCTTCAAAATCGATATCCTCCGCGAATATGCTTCCAACTCCTAAGTAAGAGCCTTTCAGCCCACAGAACGCGGAAGGCCAGTTCCACGGCTACAGCTTCCACGAATACAGTACAATCGCTGCCCTCCACAGTGAACGCCTCGAGCGTGGTGTGCAAGTTCCCCCCGTGAACCGTTTTTTTTTTTTGGCATCATTTTTTGCACGTTTGACGTTATAGATGTTGAGTTGATGCCAACCACATTTTTATGATCATCAAAAAATTATCAACATTGATTATGTGTGTGTGTATATGTAAACATACATAAATATATATAAGAATAAATTACCAAATTAAACTAGACGACGGATGGCCCGAGAGCGTAGAGGAGCAGAGTCTTCTGTTCTTAGTATGGAGGCACTATATTAGAAAACAATATATTAAGAATACATCATATGCAGACGAGAAGAGTAGTATCAAGACAATATATCAAAAACACAAGACAATAGTTTGCATCGTATCTTTCGTATAGTGTTTCTTCACACACCGAACTTTTCACAAACAGACGTTTTTGCACACAGAGGCTTTTACACACGGACGCTTTTACACAAAGAAGCTTGTACACACAGACGTTTTTACACACAGAGGCCTTTACACGCAGACGTTTTTACACGCACATGCATTTAAATTTACACACAGACGCGTTTACACACAGCAGTTTTTACACCAAGAAATTTGTACACACAGAAGTTTTTACACACAGGTTCTTTTAAACAAAGAAGCTTCACACACAGAGAGAAGCATAGAGAAGCTCTTACACGCAGACCTTTTTACACATAGAGACTTTTACACACACACACACAGAGGCTTTTACACACAGATGTTTTTACACACAGATGCTTTCACACACACACAACACACTTTCACGCGCAAAGGCTGTAAAAATTTCTGTGTGTAAAAACGTCTGGTGTAAAAATCTCTGTGTGTAAAAGCGTCTGTGTGCAAAAACGTCTGTGTGTAAAAGGGTCTGTGTGTAAAAGCGTCTGTGTGTAAAAGTTTCTTTGTGTAAAAAGCTCTGTGTGTAAAAGCTTCTGTATGTAAAAACTTCTGTGTGTAAAACTGTTTGTGTGTAAAAGCGTCTGTGTGTAAAAGTTTCTGTGTGTAAAATTCTCTGTGTGTAAAAACGTTTGTGTGTAAAAGTCTCTGTGTGTAAAAACGTTTGTGTGTAAAAGTCTCTGTGTGTAAAAACGTTTGTGTGTAAAAGTCTCTGTGTGTAAAAACTTCTGTGTGTAAAAACGTCGGTGTGTAAAAATGTCTGTATGTAAAAGCCGCTGGGTGTGAAACACAGAGATTTTTACACACATACAATTTTACACACAGATGCTTACACACACAGACGCATTTACACACAGACGGTTTTACACACAGATGTTTTTACACAGAAATTTTTACACACAGAAGTTTTTACACGCGACAGCTTTTACACGTTTTTACACACAAACGTTTTTACACAGACGGTTTTACACACAAACGGTTTTACACACAGACGTTTTTACACACAGACACTTTTCCACAGACGTTTTTACACACAGACCCTTTTACACACAGACCCTTTTACACACAGACGTTTTTACACACAGACGTTTTTACACACAGAAGCTTTTACACACAGAAGTTTTTACGCACAGAAGCTTTTACACACAGACGTTTTTACACACAGACGTTTTTACACACAGACCCTTTTACACACAGACCCTTTTACACACAGACGTTTTTACACACAGACGTTTTTACACACAGACGCTTTTACACACAGAAGTTTTTACACACAGACGCTTTTACACACTTCGCCGGACAACTTGGAAATCGCAATTTTACCTCAGTTTTTGGCGATCGAACCTCATTTCGTGCGAAAGGGTTGCGACCTTCAAGAGAAAAATAGAAAAGAAGGAGAGAGCAAGAGGGCAAGAGAGAGTGTGAGGATGTGATGAGCAGATGTGAAGATGAGCAGATTGGAACC